GTGATTTCTTGATATAACCTTTTTGGTTGGTAATGAATAGTTACTGTTATCCATATATTTCAAATCTGCTGACATATATTTAAATGTTTTGAAACTGCAGTGATGTTTTGTCTTAGCTGTTTCTTGACTTTTAAGTTGTCTGGCTTCCACATATTTCCTGAGCACTTTTCCTGGTTTTTTATGTTACTTCTTTAGAAAATGGCTTTAGGACAACTTAGGCTTTCTCTTTTTTTAACCGTTTTGTCTTAAGCCTTCTCCTTCAATGAGGTTGCAAATGTTTCTCAGGGGAAGACTGCAGCTGATGAGTTGTTATTTTTATCCACTGTTTTACAGATTACTATGGCAGCATTTGACACATTGCTAAGTCTCAGGGGTGTCATAGGTTTGTATTTGGAATAGAGTTTAATTGACTGTTGTTACTTTCTCTTGGTTTAATATAATTTACCATTTTTAATGGTGGTATCTTGATGGGCTCTTTGCTGTCCAACCTTTTGATCTCTTAAAATTTTTCTTGTAATACCAGTGAACTCTTCTGTCCTTCAAAGATGTTAGTGAAAACATTATTTAAGGGATAAGAGGACTGATCTTTGCATTTTGTCTTGTGTTATTCTTTGAGTAATTTGAAATCCCGACTCTTTGTTAACACAGTCATAATCTGAGGCAGGGATCTTTGTTGCCATTATTTTGTTTAAATACTTCAGTTTTAATTTCCTTTTTTTCTTCTGAATAAATAATGATACATTAAAAAGACACATTTTTCATATGCTCGTATATTTATATCTATTTGTTTATGTGGGTATAAATCAAGTTGCATGGAATACGCTTGTTGTTCATCTCTTTTGATCTGGTTTAGATTTGAAGTAGGAGAGAAGTCTGTTTTTCTAGCTATGGTCCATCAATATCTTCTTAGTGGTACTTTCTGCTTTGGTGCAAGGGAGGACATTCCATCTTCCATTTGGCTTGTTACATTTATGAGTACATTGTGCTGGCCCCCCTCAGTATGTCCAAGATCTTGTAGCCACCTAAGCCTATGCAATCTAGGACTACCACGCACATATGATGGGCTTCTTTTCTTGGGTGACCTCTAATCTGATATGGATTTTCTTTTATTTATCCATGCCATGGGCTTCTTGGTGACTCAGTTATTCATGGTCATCAAACCTTTAAGTCCAAATCTCCTTATGGAGCCATTACTGTTTTTGCTGTCTTTTTTACTGCTTTATGGGCATGTCTACACATGATATTAATGTGACTGAATAAACTCCAGTTCAATTTGAGTCAGAGTAAACTAATTCTGACATCACTGTCTTCGTGTGCATTTAAGCACAGTAATTTACTCTGCCATAGTACCTGTGTCTGAGGGGGCTATCCAATGGTACTGTAAATTAATCTACATTGGCCCAATTGCTGCACACATGCAGACAGTGACACTTTACTGTGCATTAAATTAGTCTACTGCGCAGTAAAGCACACGGGTACATGTGCCCGATATTTATTAATGCTGGGTTAAACCTACCAACATCAGGGCTTCTTTGTGCTACATGTGTTGTAAGTTACTGTCCCTATCTTGATTCTTGAAGCTAAAATTAATTGAAGGGTCAGGACCAAAGTAAATACAGGAAGTATTGCAATCTCTTTGTACAAAAGGAGTATGGAAGTTTGAGAAGATTACAAAAGTATATCTCAAAATTATTAATTAATAGGAGAACAGTTAAAAAGAATCAACATCAGCATTCACTTTCTTATGCTATAGGAAAGTAATTAATTTATGAGACAATTTTTTATATATATATTTATCTAGAACGGTAATATCATGCCACATTTCTTAAAACAATAATGTAAATATGAACCTTTGAAAATTGAATTTCCTTCCTGCCAAAATTTTTAATATGCTTAGTGTTTTGAAAGCCACTGAAAAACACTGTAAAGAAAACATGCCAAACTAAAAAATTCAGCGTGTGGCCTTCCTTTATCACAGAATGGGCCTTGCTAAGGAGTTCAAAGTTACAATTTATTTTAATCAAGTCAGTGACATTTGTGTCAGGAATACAGGCCCATATCATAAACTTGACAGTGGCCATACACATGAGAAATATCATAAGGTTCACTGTGTGGGGTTTCTGAAAAAAATTCCTCTTTTAAGAAATTGTTGGGGTTGTGAGGTTGTGTGAAGAAGTAAAGGAATATGGCCTCTAATGGATACCAGGAATCTTCAAGAAAACAAATGTCCAACTCTGATGAGAAAGCATTCTTCCTTCTTGCTTTATAATTGTGCCCCTACTGCTTAGTTAGCTGGCTTCATATGGTGCATCCAGACAAGTGTGCACAGAGGTGTGTAGCGCTGCAGACCCATCTACTGTGCCACACACTATACAAGCCACACATGCAAGCGTTCTCTGTGCTCCTAATTTATAGCACAGTGGGAGATCCCAGTGTCAAAAAAATCCATGCGGCAGCACATGTGGTGCCAGTGTCTACTGTCCTGGAGCCTGGCCAGCTGGAGCCACACTCCAGTTGCCAGCCAGCTTCCATGCACTGGATCAGCATTGCTGGAGCCCTGGGAGGGTCCCAGGACCCCAGTAAGGCTGCTGGGGTGTGTGCTGGGGAAAAAAACAGTGGCACAAATTTGTGATGCTGTTTTTTTCCTGCAGCAAGCATATGCCCTTCCCAAGGGGACGTGGCCATAAGGTTCTTTTTTGCCAAGAGAGCTGCATTCAGGTTGAGATGAGGAGACAGCACTTACCAAAAGTTATTGCCTCTGGCTGCATTAATTTTTGCTTAATGTGACCAGTGGCTAGTACGGAAAACAGTATTGATTAGACAGCACTAATCAGACCCTACTCTTGTTCTTAGTCAATGGAACTTAAGCTCCATGGACTAAAAACACTTTCTTGGGAAGTGAGAAATGTTGATTTGAAACCGTTCAGACTTAGGAAGGCTACAACCTTGTTCTCTCACTGCTGGGTGAGTGCTTCAACCATTACGCTATTATGTAGAAGATGTGCAGCCCTCAAACCACTGACTCGTTTGGCATTTACCTTTTGGAGGCTCTGGAACCTGAGTGGGTGGAGGTATCTCACATGCAAAACTGAGTTATGGGCCTAAGCGCTGCAGAACAGGGGAGTTCAGAAGCAACCATGTGCCCAGTGTGTCCTATTTGCTGGCTCGAGATGCTGCTTAGTGCAGGGACCAAGCACTCTTGATAGTCTTTCGGAGATCTCTCCAAATTCCCTCCAATGACAGCAGGGATAAAAGGTGGCTGAACCTATCTATTTGGGTTACTCTTCCAAGGATCGTCACCTGCCTTTTAGGTATGCTGAAGTCTAAATGGAAATCCTTACCATGTGGATCTGGGTCCTGAGTCTTAGGTCTGATATTCCATGGTATTGAGCTACCAAAGGTATTTTGTGGAATATGGGGCTTAAACCATAGATAAAATTTGATTTTGCAGGTTGCTGAACACTCTGGCTCTCATCAACCAAGCAGTAAGACTACAGTGAGATTACATATAAGCATATAATAAACCCAGTTACTAGTGAGAAACATCTTGTAGGATTGGGTCCCTTAACATGTTGTGTAATTTGAAAAGGTAGGCTGCTTTTACACACCACGTGGTTTAATTGGTTTAGTTCTCCCTAAATTGAAATGGTGGGGTTTAAAAACACTGCTTCAATTTAGGCAGTATTAAACCAAAGTAACCCCCCGTGGCATGTACACAAGGGTGAGGGCCTGATCCTTACCTGCCTCTTTGGTGAGCTGCTGGTGGGCTGACTGGTCCCTGAGCTGTGTAGGGGCCCCCTAGGTGGCACCACCCACTGGCACCTAACCCAGGCGGTCCCGGGGGGTACCACAGCCTTGGAGGGAAGCACCGGCCTTCCTGCAGCCATAAAGGGAAGCAATAGGCCCCCACACAGCTCAGGCAGACAGGCAGGCTCCACAGAGAAAAAAAGAAAAGCCCCAAGCACGTTGACTTCCAGCACCCCATGCACTATTGCACTTTGTTAGGTAGCAAACTAAAACACCTTGGAGGTGTTTTATTATGCTACGTACCAAAGGCATTTAAAGTGGAATACATTGCCAAGTGTGCAAGCAGCAATGACATTAAAGCAGTGCAAAAGGGCATTTAAGGTACTTTAAAGAACAATTTTGTGGAGTGTACAAAGGCCCTTAATGAGTTTTCAGCGTTCCCAGTGATATCAATACTCTTATTAAAGTCCCTAAGTTATGGATTAAAATTCTTGCTTAGGAACAACCTTTAAATGCCTGCCTTAAGTTACATATATGGTTAAGTCCCAATTACTTCAATTAAATTGTTAGGTTGTTTTTAATTGTTGTATATAGAAGTTAAAAAACACATATGCAGGCTTTAGGCATAATACCACAGTAAAATCCCAGCACCTTTAAAATAAACATTCAAACAAGCATTTGGCAAGATAACCACCTACAACAATCCCCCTTTCCACCCCTCCATCATTTTAACAACACAGCCTCAGTCTTCTCCAGTTCCCACTATCTACACTATATTTTGCAGTATTTTCAGAAAGTTTCCAAAGTTGGGCTATTTGGAGCACTAACCTGGCTATACTTAAGAATAGGTACTTAAATGTTTTCCTGAACCAAGATGTTTTCCAAAATTAAATTTGCAGAATTTAAGAGGTACAGTCTTTGTTATTTTGTTTTAGGAAGACTACATTTTTCTGTCTATTGTACTTACGCTGGAAAAAAACCAAAGAAAACAACTTAGCAGCCCTGCATTGCCTGAAGGTTATACTCAAGCTTCAGCTCATTACCACTGACATTTTGTTTGAGGAAATTACTTTTCAAAAGGCTGCAAAATAGGGCTGTCAGCCACTGTCAGACAGAAGAACTTGAACAAGTTAACAAAGAATTCTCAAACTGCTTAAGGGAATAAAAAATGGCATGCTAAAAGTTGTTTGACATTCACATTCTTTGCTTTTTCATAATGGAAAAAATCTGGATAGCAAAGTCAGGCCACTCACCTCTGCTAGGTAAAATTCATCATACTGTCTCTTGAAAGTCTCTCCTTTGTAGTAATTACTAGCAGCAACAATGACATCTACCGCCACCATGCTCAGTATGAACATGTGAAACACTGATGATCTCATCAGTTTCTGTAGAGGAAAAATAAAACTTTATAAACAAAAAGAGTCAATTACATGCACAAAAATATTGATTACATTGTCATAACTTTCCCCCAGTCATAACTGTATGGATTGTAGAAAGCTTCTTAAAGCAGATTTTAAATTACTGCTTATTTTAATTTTGTTTTACATGCAGAGTTTGTACTATATATAAGTAGGTATGAAAGTGCTGTTTAAAAGTGTTTTAATGAATTTGCAGCTGTTTTAAAAAAGACAAAATGCATCACTTCTGGATGGCCCAAATCTATAGGTACCCACAGTAATTTGCCTGTATGCAAACTACTATAGGTTTGTTTATTTCAAAGTCAGTGTTTTCAAATTTGCCCCTCACTTCCGTGCGCTCCGGGAGAGTGGGGTTGGACAGTGTGGGGAGAGAGGGGGCAGAAGGCAAGGGGGCCACCTAATGCCACCCCCCCAATTAATTTTCTCTGCTGTAGCAGTGAGAGGACAAATTCAAGGCAAACCTCCAATGATTAGGTAGAAATACCTGGAAAACTATAAGTAATGTATACATTTTCCAGATTCAGGAACATTTTTATATATCGTTTTATATCTGAGTAACCATGGTATTATTTTTACTAGTTTAAGCACTAGTAAAGCCTTAATTATATTATTACCTACCCATGGTTCCCTTTGTCAGTCATTAGTATTCTTTTGTTAACATTGTAATTGAGCTCTTACTATCACCATTCCTTCTGGCTTTCTGACCAACTACTCTGATCAATGAATACTAGAGGTCTCCGCTCTTCTTTCATGGCTAGAGTCACAGTCTGCCAGGATGAACGTGAGTAAGTGTGAACCATTCCTTTTAATGCACTGCACAGCTGAATAAAGGCTGTGACAATCTAGCCCTCCACATTTCCAGGAAAATCAGTCACAGCTTTTATTTGTAGAAGTGCACAGTGATTAATGGCAGAGTCTTAAAGCAATGATTAGGGCCTTTCCCGTGTATTTTTCAACATTACAGTTATTGATTGGGCCTAAATTAAACAATACTAAAGTTACTGATTGGGCCTTAAAGATTTTAGGAGGTTTGAGCTAAAGTGAAGAAGATAAAGGTTATTATGTTTGATAAGTTCCACTCTTACATGGAGCTGAATTCCCTTTGATTTCAGTGGGAACAAAAAGACCCAGCAGAACAAATTCCTTCGAGATCAGAATATGAACTGTGGCTGTACTTATTAGTAAACAATTGTTACTGAGTAAAATGTAAACTAAATAATCTAACACATGGATAACTTAATCACAACCCATTCTTCTATTAACCTTTCCAATGACTACAGAGGTCAAAGTTTCAGAATGTGGCCTCATAAACAACCAACCTTCCACACATGGTTGCTGTGTGCTATCAATTTTCCACAAACTGCAGAATTCAAGCTTGTAAAACTAATTTGCATATACAAAATGCACATACATGTATGTTCTTTTAGTTTTGGGTGTGAAACTTAGGAAGAGTGCTCATGCAGATGAAAGTTGATTTAGTTTGTCTATTTTTTCCTTTAAAAGTTTCAAGTGAAGAATTCCTGGTAAATGAAATCCTGACACCATGGAACAACAACTCCTATTTTTCACTTTCTTCTTCTACCTATCTTGTACCACCTGTGTGGGAGAATGTAATTAACTGCAAAATTTGGTAATGTTGAAACTGAAATGTGGAGGTAAACAAAATGAACTGGGGGAGGAGGGAGTAAAACCAAAAATACAATATTTATGCATGTAACATGCTCTCACTTCCTTAAAAAATCAGCCCTCCACAATTTGGGTGCATGTCTTCAGTGTGGAAGCTGGTTTCCTGCACCAGAATTAAAACATGTTTTAGCTCCCTGTAATGGCTGCCATAGGCAGTGCTTTTCTTCCAGCCCAGGAGAAAGGGGCAGTGGGCAGCCTTCAAAGTCACAGCTAATTTTAACCCTATGGCCTCTGAGCAGTAGTACTGTAGTTCTGAAGCTGCAGCTAGAGCTCCACCCTGTCTTTCTGGAGACAGCATTCAACCATATTGAGTATATGCTGTGGCAGTTAAAATATTGGAAAAAATCTTTTTTCCCCACTCTTTGTTCCTAAAACAAGGATTATTATTTTGGGGGTGCATGGTATGTGAGTAACTATGATACATTAATGCATAGATTTTATACCTCTTCACTTATTTTTAAAAGTTATTACTTTCTAGTCAGGAAGACTTGAAATTAGCCATATGACACTGCAAACAATTGTCTCAGTGGAAACAAGCTTTAATAAATATAGAAACACCCACTGCAAAATATGGTGATGAAGAAGTCCTCATCAGTATTAGTTTGGAGTTCATAAGACAATACAAAAAATGTTAAATGCAAAACTTAACACTGGAGTAAATACTGAGCTGATTTTGTAAATAAATAATACTTTATTTAAAGCTGATTGTCTGGAATCGTTCATTTCTACAACCTGTATGATTCACTTCAGGTAGCTCTGTATCTGTTAAATTTATGTTTCACACATGGTCTCTACAGACATTTAGTCTCTGCCAATTTTACAATGTTTTTCTAATAGATATAAAATTCCTTCATAGTAAGAAAATGTGGTTTAAACTGTTAATCAGCTGATAAGAGTAACTAATAGGTACCATTTTAAAATGCATTTTTGTCTTCCTTTATAAGAAATCATAAGTAAAATAATGGTGATATCCATAATGTGTGCAGAGGGTTGGTTAAGATGAACTCTGGCATCCCTTCTAGCCCTATGATTCTGTTAGTCTCTATATAACCTATAAAGATACTCATACTACAGATTATACATGTATATGCATGCATATACTATGATCATCCTTTACTCCAAATATAAAAAAGAAAACCCATCCATGTGCTACATTGAAAGAGTAAAGCAGAAAAGGTCACTGCCAATGCTCTGTCAGAGCATTCGTTAGGGTAAATACGCCCAGAAGATTCTTGGAAGAGGATTTTGGTAGAAAGGATGGCAAACCTATCCTCCACCAAATCCTTGCTAATCCTAATGGGGAGAAAATTCCTTTCTGACCCCAAATGTAGCAATCATTTGACTCTGTGTGCATAAGGAAGATGGTCCTGGTAGGCATTTAATAGAATCATCATAGAATCATAGAGAAGTAGGGCTGAAAGGGACCTCCAGAGGTCATTTAGTCCAGTGTTTCTCAACCCAGGGGTTGCAACCCAAAAGCGGGTCACAAGAATATATGAAACACCTCAAGATCCTTGTACTTAGCTACTTTGTTCAGAAAACAACTTGCTTCAAAGCTTCACTTCTCTGATTGGTAGTAATATTCTAATTTCCAATGTTAGTAATGCTTTGTGCAGTCTTAGTAATACTAACTAAAATACTCTAAAAGTGAAATGAAGCTTTTGGTTCATTGTTAAATACCTTCTCCCCGGCACCTCTGAGCTGTCAGAAAAAGATTTAACTACTGGAAGGCTCAGTTCGACTCAGTTCAGCAACCAGCCACCAGGGATTTGGTGTTATAAGAAAACCAGAAGCTGCATGAGATCCAGAGCAGCCAGCTGTTAATGGCAGAATAGGAGCTATGAGCAGGATACTGAAATAGCAGCCTGCTCCTGGCAAAGGGGCCAGCACAAATTGCAGCAGGAGGATGTGGTATAGTAACCAGAGTACATGAGGGGTGCGGGTGACTGCAAGTACACAATAGGAAGATGGCATTTGGGAGACCACAAGGAGGGTGGCAGTGAGTGGGGAGTGCTGGGAAGGGTGGTGGGGATAGTGGGCCCGATTTGTGCCAGTGAGGGTGGGCATGGGTAGGGTGTTTACACTAATGTGTAACCTAGAGTGACTGCACCTTAGTGTAACATGGACTGACTAGATCAGAGATAATCCTGCCCTGGACTGGCATAACTTCAAAGCACTAACAAGTATTTAAAATCAGCTTCAGGTATTAATGTGTGGACAAACCAGGTGTAAAGAGCTCCAGAGGCTGCCCAAAATTACCTTGTAACAAGGCCCTTAGAGTCTAAGGAGATGTGTCAAAGGCTAAGGGCAATAGAATCTCACACTTGCACTTCCTACCTCTTGCCCTGAAGTTCATGGTACAGCCAGCATGCCACATGTCAGCTAGATGAGTGTGGTGTATGAGAGTACTCACAGTAATGCCATGCAATGGAGTCAGTTATAATGATCAGCTTAGAAGTATAAGAAAATAACTTGGGGAAGGATCTTAAGAACTGGCAACAACAGCTATTTATAGGCAAGAATACAAGAAACTACGGTATGAAAGCACTGGACTGAAAAAGAAAGACCCAATCAAATTATACTAGATGCTTTCATTACAAAGCATAAAGCAATTGTTTAGACATAAGATAACACCTTTGGATCTCTAGGGACAAATTAAGAACTAGTAAATGAGAGTACAATGTATTGATGCCACTTTTTCTCTTTTACTTATTCAGCCACCTAAATGGAGCATTCTCAAGGAATCCTGCATTTCTGGTGGGAAATACAAGATATATACTTCATTTTCCATTTAATCTTATATGGTTTTCTTTTGACTCATATACCAGATGAGAACACTTAATCAACAAATTAAAAATGTCAGACTTTGTATTTAAGAATCAAACCTAATCTTCTCAATATATAAGTGCAGCTTCCACTGGTATCAATAGTGGACTTGACTAAGGATTTAATATGGCTCCTAGAGTCACGTTAACTTGGTGCCCTTTATTAAAGTAAACATGGCTAGTATGTAGCTATAACTGAGAAACAGATTCAAGATACTCTATAAAACATTCACTTTTTATAAATCCTTGATTCTAGGCTTTGATGACACAGTTACTGTTGGTTTTCAACAAATGACTATTTCATGAAAACTGAATAAACAGTCCTTACAGTAAGGGCTTGAGACCAGAACTCCCTTTCTCCTAGCTGATGCCTGATTGGGCCAGATAGTCATACTCTTTTTTCTTACTTTCCTTCTGACACTATGAATCTTACCTTCTTGGCTGCCCAGTAGAGAT